TTACAGCAGCCGCACTCATCCAGCACCCAGCTCACTCCGAGCGGACAGGAGGGTGGAGACGGGGGGCAGGAGCAGGAACGGGAACAGCCTCTGGACACCTGCAGGAACAGCAGATGAGAGACGAGCACACAGCTTCATTACATAAGGCCAGCAGCCAGAAATGAAAGGCTTTCTCTGAGATGACAGTGTAGGAGTTGTCAGGCCAATGTTTTTGTAAGTTTGTATGAGTGGGTTCGGCTGTGCTTATATAATACACTCATTTAGGTGTCTGTGTTTGAAATGTGACTGTAGAATTGAATCATAAATATACACTGTAAGATAAACTGTGCCGTTGTTACCATTAGGAGCTATTTCTACCTGATGTGATCTCCATAAACAAATACTTTCTTGATGCAACCTATGGTCAAAAGGTCATGTTTATAAAATTGAAATATTTAAGTAAAATGTTCAAATTAAAAATAAAAACTCATTAAAAATAAATGTATTTCACACATATTTTTAAATAAAAGTGTCTTATACTCACCAAAGCTGCAATTAAGTACTCAAAATACAGTGAAAACAGTAATATTATAAAAAATATTTAATACATTAAAATAACTGGTGTCTATTTTAATTTATTTAAAAATTTAATTTATTTCTGTGATGTAAAGTTGAATTTTCAGCATCATTACTTCAATCTTCAGATCCTTCAGAAATCATTCTAATATGCTGATGTGCTGCTCTAGAAACATTTCTGAAAATGTTATGCTGCTTAATATTTTTGTTTAGACTGTGATACATTTTTTCAATATTCTCTGATACACAGTACGCTCAAAAGAACAGCATTTATTTAAAATTAAAATATTGTGTAACTTTATAAATGCCTTTACTGTCACTTTTGACCAATTTAATGCATCCTTGCTGAATAAAAGTATTAACTTCTTGCCTTTCTGACACAAACGTTTTGAACAGTAGTGGATATTTTGATCTTTAACATTTATTTTTCTATATAAATTAAAAATAAATTTAATCACACAACATTTAGCTGTTACCACATTAAACACATTTATAAAACGTTTTTTTTTTAATCTTCATATGTCAAGAAAACAATATCAGTTTGCTTCATTAACAGTTATGAGAATAGAATAAATCAGATGACTTGAGCTGAAATCAAACAAACACCTGGTTCCATTATTTCAAAATGTTGTATGCTCAATAAAGAGAAATTAGCATTAGGAAGTATCCGAGTACAACAACAATAGAATGTTTGTAAGGAAGGAGAAAATGTAGTCCTGCACAGCCTTCAAACATGAAGAGGCTTCTTCTGCAATGTCTAAGTTACATGTGTACAACACACTGGCTCAAATCTACTCACCTCTCCTTCAGCTGAACATACAACAAACATCAATACGGTGCAAATAGCAGCCAGAGTCCTCTGATTCTCTCCAGAACACATTTCCAAACTTTAAAAAAAAAAAAAGAATCCCAACGTGGAAAAACAAGTAAAAATCCCCAGTGCAAAAGCAGGTTTATCCACTTTTATTCTAAATGACTCCAAAGACCTCAGAGGGCAAATTTTCCAAAGCTAGTCCAGTTACAAAGTGCATCAGTCAGACTAGTTACTAAACTAAAGCAGTAGCAAGACTCAAATGCAGATGCCTTGTCAGAGCATTTCCAAAGAGTCAGGTCACCTTATAAAGCGAGAGAGAGAGAGAGAGAGAGAGAGAGCTCGTCTCTGACATCAGCATGAATCGGAGCAGTGGGAGTGTGTCTTCATAATGAGGGGATCCCTTATTATTTGTGTTGCTGGAGCTCTAGGGAGCAGGGTGTGAATGCAAAACTGCACAACGAGACTGCCAAAATAAGTAGTGTGGATTACAAATGACAGTTATATGAAACAAAACCACAGAGACACTTAATACAGAGCTAACAAACGCGCTCAAGCAGGGTGTTCACCTGACCACACAGTTTAATTGGCCGTTTGTTGTGTGTTACGCAAGCCGCCGCCCTGGAGCGCATAAAAACATCGTCATAATAGTGGAACAATTGAGAAGGGAACTCCAGCCGTTTTCCGTTTGGATGAGAAGTCCTGATGCAGATGCAAAGGAAAATCTCCATAAACAACTCAGCTCTCACACACGCTTCCCACTCATACATGAACACACGAAACACTTTCTACTATCCTCGCACACCGAGCGCTTCCTGTTGCGCTTTCTCACTTCCTCTAACCGTTTCCTACCAGCGGCCACATTCAGGAAACTCCGGCCGTTCACACAGGTTCCAGTGTTTTTGTAGGAAAATCGAAACATTCTCATTGTCATCTTGTAAGGACATGAAAAGTGTTTTCTTTTCAGTTGCAGGAAGAGCTCTCTACTGGGCCACAGGTTTGTGTTATGAAACCCAGGAAGAGAAACATGGGAAGGGAGTAAGATCTCCAGTGTCTGACCTCCAGAGACTGCTTTCATATAACTCATGTAACAACTTTCAGGCAGTCACAATTTGTGCTGATTTTTCTTGGAATGACACACCTGATTCAAATTTGAATTTTTATAATAATATATGTTTTTGTTTTTTTAATCTAAAGTGTTAGGAATAACCTCCACAACAATAAGATTAAACAGAGAACAAAGAAAGATTTGCAGTAAGTCTTGTGCTTTTCAGTCTTTTCTCCTGAGAGAAAAAATCCTAGTAATCTCACGTCTTCTACAGAGTTTAAGAAGACATCTCAACAATGTCTCAAAACTGTGCTCAGATTTGTCAAGATATTTGTCAAGATTTCAAAATGAACTCAAATATATTTTTTCAGATTCTTCCGAGAATACATTATCTGAGCAACCCATATGAATTGTACACTTTTAAAATGAAAGGCATCTGGTTCCATGAAGAACATTTAACATCCATGGAACCTTTCCATTACACGAAAGATTCTTTTGCAGAAAAAGTTTATTTCGATTTTTAAAATGTTCTTCACTAGAGAAAATATGGTTCTTTTAAGAACTGTTCACTGAAAGGTTCTGTGGAAAACCGAATGGCATGAAACCCCCCTTTTGGAACCTTTATTTGTATTCATGCATATCTTTATTATCTTTACCATACATAAACACATAAACACATTTTAACAGTTATGGCTGTTTACCTATCAAATCAATTTGAAATATTATAAAGTAGCTGTAAATATGCACGATATATCATAATGCAATAAACACAAATAAATAAATTATACAGTTCTGTCCTCTGTACTGTCACAGCAGTCTTTGATGTAATTGCATTTTCAGATAGATGAATAGATTATTTATGTAATAAATCTGAGAGGCTGTGATATTTAATCAAGAGTAACAGCAAAATCCTGCTATGGCGCTGATATAGCTTTAGACAGTGATACAGCTTTTATGCAACAGTTAATATTAAGTAACTTACATTTTGGACACAGAATGGCCAGTTACTTATATTTTTACTCTGAAATGTTTTCTTCACATATTTCCAAACAAAGTCAAGGCAGAAGCAGACTTTAACATTGCCATGCAACACAGTAATGGTGTTCCTTACTGAACAAATTCTCATGTTTGAATGAATTGGTTGAGTGAATGATACAATGACTCATTCACTATTTTTTTTATTTCTAAATGAATCAGTATTTTAAATGAATTGTTTTTCCCATGCTATATAGTAGGGAAGTATGTGATTTCGGGTGCAGTGGTGTACTGTCTGAATAAGTGCTACATTTGAATTTGAACCGTTAAAAAAAGTATGTCTATATAATATTCGGACGTACTACATCCACCATGTTGTAACTATCACGTGACCTACCAGTAACAACTATGTTACTTCACTACCATTCATAAATGTGCTATGGCCTCATGAGATAGTAAAGTGTCCATTGAATGCACACTTCAGAATCTCACCGGAGGGTCATCTAGGTACTTTTTTACTACTGTTTTTCAAATACTATGAATTCGTACATACTACTCTTTTGGCGTACTGTTTGTCACATACTATATAGTAGGAATGTATTTGATTTCAGATGCAGGCCACTCAGACAATCAAATCTGAGGAATACCAAAAATACTGACAAGTACTGACATTATTGTTTTTTTTTTATGTTTAGTACTAACTAAAAATGACACCACAGGTAAACATTTTAAACCAACAGACAAACCATATTTCCCAGTTTGATTAATCACAGAACATTAAGACAAAATACGTTTTCAGAAATGTAATGTTTAAATATGCAAATGAGGCATTCTCTCATTAAAAATGCATTCATTTGCATATATTTCCATAACAGAAATATGAACATGGGATAAAGCCAGGTTCAATATTTTTGTTTGATTTTGTTGACATATTACAGTTTAAAGGGCTTTACAGATTTGGATATCTCTTTTTATCACTCCATATAGAAAATAGAAATAGAAAAATAAATAACCATTATTAGGAAAAAAATGTTATATAAATCAGGCAAATGTTATATGAACAAACCTTTCTCTGTATATATGTAAAAAATCAGAATATAGATATAAATAACAAGTTTTGTGTATGTAATTGCTACTGGGGAAAAAAATTATATGGAAAAAAACTCATTTTGAGAAAACGGCTGATATAGATATGCTTTATAATTCAAATCTACAGATGCAAATAGATAAAATGTAATAAAAATAAATAACTAAATGTCTATTTTGTATGTTTTCTATCCACTATTTTGTTATGGAAACAAAATTTCGCCTTGCAGTGAAACACTGAACAGGTGTTTTGCATCAGATGTTACTAAAACTGATTAAATTACACACACAAATCTCCTCCTGAATTCAGCACGGTGCATGGGAGTCTGGATACTGTGGAATGACTCATATGAGAGGATGAGAAATGTGAGCGAGTAACTTTGACAGACAAGTGAGGAGTGAAGCCAAACATGATCTGCAGGTAGGAGGGCAACAGGTGTGTGTGTGTGTGTGTGTGTGAGAGAGAATGCATAAAGACATTTCAGAGCAGGAGGATTTCAGCACTGACGGTGTGAGTGTGCATCTGTGTGTATGTGTGTGTGGTATGCACCTCACACGCAACCCTTTACGCAAATACCCAGACATAGGAATCACAAGAAAGGACGGTCAGCTCAGTAGTAATTCTTACACTATTTGGGAGAGCCACATATCAACCTGGAGAGAAGAAGAAGAAGAAGGGAAAGCGAAGGGGATGGCCAGAATTCCAGAGATTCCTGTCCCACAAAAGCAGGATATGTGCACTGGCCCTCTCACTCTGAATGACGACGGAGAGAAGAGGTCATTAAAACGAGGGTGAGAGAGGGAGGGTGTTATGAACACTTGCTATTAGACAGTCTGGCCCAATCCCAGCCATTGTTACTGGACCAGACAAACATTTCCAAAGCAGAGGTCAAGTGGACAAGGTTATATACACCAAATAATGCATTGTCTTCATTGTCAAGTTCTTAAGAAAACATCTACGTACAGTGCATTAAAGGATTAGTTCACTTCCAGAATAAAAATTTCCTGATAATTTACTCACCCCCATATCATCTAAGATGATCATGTCTTTCTTTCTTCTGTCGAAAAGAAATTAAGGTTTTTGAGGAAAACATTCCTGGCTTTTTCTCCATATAGTGGACTTTAAAGGCACAATATGTAATTTTCGCCGCTAGAGGGCGCGTATTCAAAATAAACAAAT